TTTGCAAATGGACACCTAATTTTAAGAAGGGATGAGGCGATGTTGAAGATGAAGCTTGCAGTGGTAGAGCATCCACATCAATTTGTGACAAAGAAAAAGAATCATCTTATTTGTTCTGTCATTGAAGAGGACTGATGATTAATAGCAGAAACAAGCCCATACCACAGACATTTAGGTTGGTTAAGCTTATACAAGTTTGACTGAAAAATTAAAGTTGAACAAACTTGACATGACACTTGGCAGGTGCCAAAACTGTTCCACCCAGATCAGCTGCAGACAAGAGCAGGACTTTCAGTGGAAATTTTAAACATGTGAGATCAGGATTCTGGAACATTTCTTTGAAGAGTTGTAATAGGAGTTGGAACATGGCTTTACCAGCATGATCCTGGAGATAAAACACAATCTAAGCAGTGACCTCCAAGAGGAAGAGTGGTCAGATCAAGAGCCATGGGCGTGGCAACAGTTCATTGAGGTGCTCAAGGCATTTTGCTGGTTGACTAATTTTTTCTTTTTCTGCTTGTTGATGAGATACATTTTGTACTTTCTTTCTGAAGTACAAAAGAACAAAGAGTGATAAAATGATAACATCTGCTTATTGTGAGAGTTTTGGGAAAGTTAGCCAAAGCTTTAGCCAAAAAAAGGCCCAGAGCAAATTTTACAAGAGAATGCTTCTCCACCACAACAAAGCTTCTGCTCATGACTATCATTGAACGGGGGCAGTTTTGCAAGAGTTTCAGTGGGAAATCATCAAGTATCCACGCTATGGTCTTGATTTGCGTCCTTCTGACCTTTGTGTTTCCTAATCTTAAAGTTTTTTTTTTTTTTTTTTTTTTAGACAGAGTCTCACTTTGTTACCCTCAGTAGAATGCCACGGCTCATAGCTGACAGCAACCTCCAACTCTGGGGCTCAAGTGATCAGCCTCCCGATTAGCTGGAACTACAGGCGCCAGCCACAATGCCCCTCTATTTTTAGAGAGAGGATCTCGCTCTTGCTCTTGCTCAGGCTGATCTTGAACCTGTGAGGTCAGGCAATCACCCACCGTGGCCTCCCAGCATGCTAGGATGACAGGCGTGAGCCACCACCTATTCTATTTCTTTTCGAATTGTGTTGTATTCTGTATGCTGCAGGTATTGGTGATACGTGTTATTTTGTGTTCGTATAGTGTGGACATTTGCATACACCACTGCCACTTAGCCCTCACAATCGATGGCCTTGTTAAGTGGAACAGAAATTATTATCCCTATTCCACAGGACAGGGACTTAAAATGGCAGAACAATTTATTAAGAGCTGGATTGGGGACCGGCAGTTCCTTGTTTAGATTTTCAGGGAAGTCCACTGGAGAAGTTTCCTTTGCGTCCAGGTGTCCTGAGCCAGAGGTTCCTTCTCCACCCACTGGCCCCACGCTCCCACGCTCCCACGCCACCAGCCTTGGGAAGGCACGTACTCAACCGGGTTATGAATGGTATATATAGATAATAGCCAAATATTTGTTCAAAAGCATTCACTCTGAAGTGCTAGGTAGGGACCTCCAAAAATGACTGGGATGAGAGGGATAGCTACCTACGAGCCACACTTATCTACAAGCCAACTCATGGAAGTGCAAACGGGTTCTCTACTCCGCCATGGCTCATCGGCTCACTCAGTGTCCTTGGACGAATCACTTAACCTTTTACTACTTACTTACATTTGTTCCTGCCAAACGCTTTGAAAATTAGAGAATGATTTAAAGTCATCAAAATGCAAAAACGTTCAACTTTCCAATACAAACCACATCTTTGCTGCCCGCTCCCATTCCTCAAAGACTTAATTTCACTCGTTTAAATGGTGATAGCCATTTTAAGTTTACAATTTAATAAAAGATTTAAAGATAAATAACTTTTAAATCACGAACATGCAGATGTCTTTTGTTGTTAAAAAGTTAAAACAATACTTATCTAGACAGAATGAAAAGTGAGTTTATATTCTATTGCTCTTTGGTCTGTACTGGCTTGTGGAGATCTTGGAGGCAAGCGTATCTTAGAACCTTAGTTTAGCGCTGATAATGCCTTAGGAAAATCTTTTAAGTTCTTAGTCTTATGGTATGGAAGAGGAGAAAAACGGCGCAGAGCCGCTCTTAATCTATGAAAACAGGGAAATAAAACGGAATAACCAGTGCGTCCTGGAGCTCCAGACTTTCGCGCTGGGATTGGAGCGGTTTCAGTGGGGACCGGCCCTAGAGGTTCTGGCAAAGAACCTGAGCCCCCTCGCGGCGGAACTAATCACAGAAGCCACAGGTCCCTTTAAGGCACCCTGCAAGCGGAGAAAAGTACCAAGGGGGCGGGAGAAGGGCTGGGGAGTGCACGCCACGTGACTAGGCTGCCAAATTTGCTTGCGAGTTTGACAGAAGTTTGAATCGGACTCGGGGGCTTTCTGCTGCCGGTGGGGCACAGCGGCGGCCACAGTCCCAGAGAGCGCGAGCAGCAGAGTCCCCGAGACCTAGCCAGCAGTCTGGATCCCGGCCCGCCGACGGCCGCTCGCGCTCCGGCTCCGCTCGATTGCCCTGCGGCGAGCCAGGAGCCCCCAGCTCGACTGCCGTTTGCGCAGCCTGTAGGCGAGGGAGACGAGCCCCGGCGCTGCGCCCCAGCCCCGCCGCGCCAGCATGTCCTCGACGGAAGGCACCAGCCGCACCGCAGACAAGTCGCCGCGCCAGCAGGTATTCGCTCTGCGCCCGTGGGCTCTCTCACTGCCCCCTCTAAGAATCAGACTTCACCCTTATTCTGCTCCCTGGCCCGGGTGTGAACAGGAGGAAGGGGCCAGTGCTTTTCTGGGGTTTCCCACCACCCTGACCCCAGGCCGGCTCTGTGTCCGCAGGTGGACCGCCTACTCGTGGGGCTGCGCTGGCGTCGTCTGGAGGAACCGCTGGGCTTCATCAAAGTTCTCCAGTGGGTGAGTCGCTGCCCCAGCTCCGGGCTATTTCTGGAGCCTGGGCTGTGACGCTGACCCGAAGCAATGTGGCCAGAGTGGGGGCTGGGAAGGTGCAGAGGCCGGGCTACTGCGGAAGGGTGGGGGGCGGTGACAGGTGGGCGGGGGAGGGGAGGACTAGGACTGCTTCTCTGGGCTTGGTGGCAGGAGGGTGAGGAGCGAGGAGTGTAGAGTCCCGGATTCGGTCCTTCTATGTGCAAGGAGCCTTTGCCCAGGGCGCTCACATTTCACTCGGGCGAGAGGACCCGGCTGTAACCTTTCCAGAATTCTGATCCTGCACATACCACTACTTGGTGGCGGGAGGAGGGAGGAGGACGAGGGGGACGAGGTCCGCTCTACCTAGAGGAAAGCCTCGGAGGGCAAAGGAGGGAGGGAGGCAGGCGATGGAAACCATTCTGCCCCCAAACCCACTAGCACCTGGATGATTCTGGGGTGATGGACTCAGGGAGTAGGCTCCCAACTCGCAATTCCCTGCTGAGGTCACTGAAATAATCCGGGTTCCTGTACATAAGTGAGGGAATGGATGCATGAATGAATGAACCCAGCTCATAGCTCTAGGAATACGTAAAAGGGAAAAAAATAAGATAGTATAAAAATCACAAGATGGCTAAGATGTGGCATACAGAGTAAGATAGAACATTCATCTAGGAAACCAGGGCACTGGGTTCCAGATCTAGACCTGCCTTTCCCAGCAGTGTCACCTTGGGAAGTCACTTCTCTGGACTTCAGTTTCCAACATTAGTCAGATGTTGATCAGACCATCCCTGGAGTCTCCTTATGCTCGAAATGGGTTGACATGCTGTAATATGCTACCACATTAGACTTACCCTGTGACCTTGAAATCACTTGCCTAGGTCCTCAGTTTCCCCTATTATGGTCTAGTGCAGCGGTTCTCAACCTGTGGGTCACAACCCACAGGAACTGTATTAAAGGGCCACGGCATTTGGAAGGTTGAGAACCACTGGTAGTGGAAATACCATCTCCTTGCTTCACTGATACTTTGAGACATTGGTGTGCTCTTCTTCAGTACTCAAGACCTCCTGATGTGGACAGTGGCAGTCACTTTCTCAAATAGCAAAGACTTGGAGGGCATTTAATGCAATGCTATGGAAGAGTTTATAAATTAGACAGTCCACATATCAAATGGTGTGTGAATAACTCAGTTTATGTGCTCTCAGCACAGAATTCAGCTAGGGAATGTTACCATTAATACTGAGAAGGATTGAGTTCTAAAGGGCTGTGAACTCACTGGAGGCAGGAATGAGCATTGTGTCACCAATTCCTAAATCATGGTTTGGATGAGAAACATCAAATTTGGAATTCAGGGGCAATAGTGCATTTGGGATTGTCAGTCCAGTATGGGAGCTCCCAAGTGCAAACTCCAGGACCTGGTGGGGACTTTCCACTTTCCCTCCTGCCTCAAGAGCAGTTGGGCCAACTCCTGACTGAACTCTTTCACCTCTGGCCGCTTTCCTGTTCTGACCCACCACTCCAGTAGTACCAGAGGGGCCCATGTAAGAGCACTATCAAGGCTCTGAGTGACTGGCATCCAGAACTAGGAAAGCCATTATGAGAGATCCAGAGCAGAACCTGAAGTGAAAGAGAACAATTTTATCATTAAACTAGACAAATGGATCTAACAGAATTTGAGACAAGCTGTCAAGGGATGAGGGAAACAATGAGATTATTAGACCATGGATTTATCTTCCCTGGGGGGATTCTGAAAGGCTTCTTTCTTCATTTATGCTGTCCTTTCTTTTACTCCCCCCATTCCCACAACTACCAACATTTCTATAAAGGCTGCACAGGGCAATGCCTACCGAAATGACCCAGTCTCCTCCCAGAGTCCTGCTCCCTGATGCCCTAAGAATTAAGACCTGTTTGACTTTCATGATCTTCAAATTCTTAGAAATGGGATTTTGAAAAACTGAGTCCCCTTTCTCTCAAAATTCTATATTTGTTGGTCCTGGGCTAGATGCTGAACTTGACCTTCATTTACAGGGTAGCATCATAAGGAGATATAATTTGCTTTTATTGCTTTTATGGGTAGCCTGAATTCAGAACATGACTTTCACTTGCTTTGAAGCTTTGCAGATGTGATAACATAGGCACTAGCATAGGCACTAGCACCAGAAATGACAGTGGAAATGTCATTTGAGTTTTTTTTTTTTTT